GTCTCAACCACCTGCTGAGCGTGGCCCCGCAACAGAGCATTATTCTACTGGAGGATGTGGACGCTGCGTTCGTAAGCCGCGACCTGGCCAAACAGAGTGCGTGTTTGATCCATTTATGTCTGTATAGTCCATCTACGTTCTGATGGATCTTTTTTTTTTGTGTTTTTGAGGATGTAAAGGGAAATCCCCCCCCAACAGTGATATAAGTAACACTTAAAGTGGAACTAAATACTCCTTTCCGCCGAGCATTGCACCATCTTAGTCTTTATTTCAGATCTGGACATTTTATGGCCGTATCCAGCCTTTGGTCTGTCTCTGTCCAGCCACGGACTGATCTCCAACAGGTGCTCGTTTTTGGCTGGCTCACAGTGCATGCGCCAGCCTCCAAGTCTGGTACATCAACTTCAAGCCATAGCCCAGCGCAGACCGGCAATCAGTCTGTGTCTGGAATGCATTTCTCTTCTGCTGCTGGCAATCTAGCAACCAATGACGTGAGGGGTCCTCCTTCTCTGCAGTCATTGGTTGCTAGGGCCACCAATGATGTCAGGGGTCTGCCTCCTCCTCTGTAGTCATTGGTTGCTCGGACCACCAGTGATGTCAGGGGTCTGCCTCCTCCTCTGCAGTCATTGGTTGCTCGGACCACCAGTGATGTCAGGGGTCTGCCTCCTCCTCTGCAGTCATTGGTTGCTCGGACCACCAGTGATGTCAGGGGTCTGCCTCCTCCTCTGCAGTCATTGGTTGCTCGGACCAACAGTGATGTCAGGGGTCTGCCTCCTCCTCTGCTGGGCAGTCCTAACAACCAGTGACAAATGTGTTCCCGCCCCCAGCTTTACCTACGCCCTCCACCTCCGTTCTCTCCTGCAGCTCCATCTTCTGGCTTGTAAAGAAAAAAGTCACATAGTATTCATACAACGTGAGAATAATGTGGGGACAATAAAGATTCATTCTAGGTCAGTTCACACCTAAGCCATCCCGTGTGATTAACGCACGGTACCGCGCAACCTGTCTAATGTTACAGTGCGGCATGTGCGTTGTGTTGCATAGACTTTTTTCAACCAGACTGCAATACACAGTATTGCAGTACCGTGCGTTGTGTCACAGTAGATTGCATTGCAGCCAGGAGGTGTGTTTTGTTATGCCATTCAAATGATGCATTGTGTTGTACCGTGCAGTCATCGCTTCGGCCCCCAACAGCAGTCCCAGAGTCTCTGGAAAAATGGATTGCCCACCCCTGATCTATTTAGATCTGCAGTTGCCATGGTGCTGTCATGTCATGGTTGCCATGGTGCTGCACAAATGACCAGCTATGGCACCAGCCATTTGCAGGCTACAAAGATGGGTTGACAGCTGACATAAGCACACTGGAAACTGACAGCTATCACCAGAGTCGTGCGTTGTGTGTATTTTTGAATTTAGGATTATTTTGGCAGGGAAAGTTCTGACTGGTTGTGCAGAGATCTTTTGTACAAAAAAAATGTTTGATCCAAGAGCAGATGGTGAGTCTGGTGTAGGTAGGTGGTTTGATGTAGGTAGTCTGGTGTCTATGAGTTTCTGTACCATTTAAGATTACCTTTCCTTCTACAGATGCGACTGCTTTTCAGGGCATGGGACGCCTGACTTTCAGTGGTCTGCTCAATGCCCTGGATGGGGTGGCCTCCACAGAAGCTCGAATTGTTTTTATGACTACAAATCACATTGACAGGTAAGATGGTTTCCTTTTACTACAGTATAAAACAGGGGTGGGCAAACTCCAGCCCCCCAGATGTGGTGCATCTTCAAATCCCATCATCCAGTCTCTGGAGTCTCATGCTCATGGACATACAACCCCAAACACAGGCTGTACAGCCAAAGGAAATCTCACCGCTCCAATTCCTTAGCCACCATCAGGACTCCCCAGGTTCTGGTCTATTAGGTGCGTCTCCACCTTGGAATGCAGCAGTATCTGAACAGACCGCACTATCCAGAGAATTCCAATACTTCAGACTTGATTGAAATTCACAGCAAATCCAGTGTAACAGTGAATGAAAGTGTATAAAGCAACAAATGCCAGCACTGCACACCCCCAACCAACTACAACCTCTCACATGTTTTACCCGCAGGCTTTCATAGAGGTCTATGAATCTTCACCTCTATGAATAAGCCTGCGGGTGAAACATGTGAGAGGTTGTAGTTGGTTGGGGGTGTGCAATGCTGGCATTTGTTGCTTTATACACTTTTATTCACTGATATACTGGATTTGCTGTGAATTTCAATAAAGTCTGCAGTATTGGAATTCTCTGGATAGTGCGGTCTGTTCGTATACTGCCCTAAACACAGGCTGTCTGCATTCAGGGTTGTACGTCTATATGTATGCACGTGTTTGCAGAAGCACCGTCGTACAGCTGCATCCTGCAATTGATTTCTATGGGCAGCTATATGCAGAAGCCGTGGATCCCGGATGGGGAAATACATGCAATTTTTACATTGTAGGGCCCCAGGGTCCCGTGTGTAGGAGGCCTTATAGTGAACTCAACCTCTGCTCAGGCTTGAATCTCTGCCAATACCACAACCAACAGTCTCTCACACTGTATCGCATTCTCTCCATGGAACTGTAGGTTGGACCCGGCGCTGATTCGGCCAGGTCGCGTGGATGTAAAGCAGTATGTAGGACATTGCACCCGCTGGCAGCTGGCACAGATGTTCCTGCGCTTCTACCCAGACCAGACGCTGCACACCGCAGAGGAGTTTGCCGACTCGGCTCTGTCGGCCGCAGGCAAGATCAGCGCGGCCCAGGTCCAGGGTCACTTTATGATGCACAAGAATGATCCACAGGCTGCTATAGAGAACATCAGCTCAATAGCTAGATAATGGTTCTTTTATCTCTAAAGAGGGCCTGTCTCATTCCAAATAATTCAGTCATTAACCACTCTGGTATTCAGAACAGCTACAAGAGGGTCTGGACAAGCAAAGAGATTGAAGCCCCCTTTTAATGGGACATCTGTTGTTTTGCTAACTCGTCTCTTGTTGGGATTTGTGTCAATCTGATCATCTTGTCTAGTTAGGAAAAAAACAACCATTTTGTTGGGGATCATTTTTCTTGCCTCATAATGAGGTTTTATTTATAAGAAGGGATTGTGAAATTGTTCAATAAAACCCTTTTCTTATTAACAAGATTCTGCCTGTGCCACGACCATTGTACATAAGCATTTGAAGAAGATTTAACGGCAACATGGAATGATCTTTTATCTAAAAGGGATCCAGCATCAGATACGTTTTCAATGTAAGTGCATGCTAGGTAATAATATGTCAATTTAACACTTCCAGGTATTTGTTACCTCACTAGGAGATCATAGTACTCCCCCCCCCATGCCATGGCAGAATATGAATGGTGGGAATCCCTCCTAATGGGCACAGTAGGTGTGCAGACCTGAGAACTCAGCAAAGAGATTTCACCAACAGAGCCCCTGAGAAATAGAAGAGACTGCCAGTGGGTTTAACTCTCCAGCACTGGGGTGGGCAACTCCAGCCCTCCAGCTGTGCTTTAACTACAAATTCCATCATGTCCCTGGGAGTCATGCCTGTAACTGTCAGTCTTGCAATGCCTCATGGGACTTGTAGTTCCGCAACAGCTAACAGCTGGAGGGCCGGAGTTACTCGCCTCTGCTCCAGCATCTACCGGAAGCTCAAATATCCGTTTTGGGTCACCTGACCCTCTAATCTTGCATTACACTGGTTTGAAGAATGGCCTTTATTCTTTTGGCAGAACAGGATAATATTGGAACAGCATTCAAGGAGAAGCACAACCTTTCTGCAGGGGAAAAGACACAGTCTCATGTCAAAACAATCAAGTTAGTTTAAAGGAGAACTATGAGGTGAGTAAAAATCCCTCATCCTCATAGTTCAAATTGACCTCTGACAATGAAACTGTCACACGTTAGCTCAATAGATCGGAAGCGAGCGAACACATACTGCTGCTCGCTCACTTCTCGATCATCTCCCTGCAGAGAGCGGTGACTGTCAGTCACAGATCCCCGCAGGGATTCCCCCCCCTCCCCGCTCCGATCCTCCAGCGCTGACTGGCGGAACGGACAGGGGAGGGGGCAGGCACAGATAGGTAGAGCCAGCTGTCATTCACGTAGCTGGGAAGATCTGGACAGCATTGTTGGGATCCGTCCCGGCTGCGGAGGTCTCAGTATAGCGCAAGCTGTAGCTCGCAATATGCTGAGCTTTGGGTCACGAGGTCTTATTTTCGGGGTAGGTCTTATATTACAGAAATCCGTGAAGATAGCGCTAGGTCTTACTTTCGGGGAAACACGGTTTATATATATGAGCTTCCAGATATGTGCAGTAATCCAGTGTGAGACTTGGAGCTTCCTGTAATAAAGACTGCTCACTGCTGCTCTCTCCTTGTGGAGGGTGACTGGTCTTGTCTCCGCCCCCTACTGTAGTTTTCTGCAGGCTGCCTGTAGTGGGTGGTGCCTGCTGGGTCCCTCCTATAGCGATGGTCCCTCTTTAGGCTGTGTTCAGCACAGTGATGATGTCACTGTTATTTGTACAAACTGGATTTGCAAAGGCATTTGGTGAGCGCAAAGTGGATTTAGGTCTTTTGCGGCTATTTAAAAATAGATTTAAGGGAGTTTTCTTGCCCGGAGTTCAGCTTTAAACTAGTGACTGCCTAACCACTAGAGGAGGCTGCTCACTAACAAAGCTGCAGCTTGCATTCGGATCTGCAGTCCTGGTCTGTGTCTGCCTCTGCAAATTTCATATTGTGACATTCCCTTGCTACGCACATAAGTTTCCGCACAGTTCATGTCCCGTGATGCATCGTCTTTAGTTCTTCTTGGTGTTCTGAGATCTAATTGTAATAATGTTTACATAGTATAAAGTGCGGACAATGTAACTATATAAAAGTCAGTGTATCAGCTCGGATCACCGATGAGGCCGTCGGATGTTCTTCCTGTTAAGAAAATGACTCGCTGTTTCACAGGTTTACCCCAAAACGGTTTCCAGGCCCAAATCTATTAATGTCGATCGATGAACTGCAGGTCAATTGGAATGTCTGACACGAGAACCACTCGATTCTTTGTCTTAACCTCTTTCATCTTTGGGTCTGGCAGCACCTCGAATTGCCTAATAATCTGTGGATGCAAAAAAAGAAGAAATGTTAGTGGGAAGTGGAACTCCGACCCAAACATTTTAGTGTTGCAATAGAGCTGGGAAAGGCTTAGAACCTCAGGCAGGCTTTTATAATGGACTGCAGTAACATGGGACAGGTAGTGAAGGAAAATCTCCTTAAAGGAGAACTATGAGGTGGGTGCTTTTCACTCACCTCATAGTTCTAGCCGACCTGTGACAATGAGACTGTCACAGGTCGGCTCAGTAGATCGAGAGGTGAGCGAACACATACCGGCGTTCGCTCACCTCTCGATCCTGTCAGGGCTCTCTGCAGTGACAGGGGAGGGGCTGGATTCCCCCCTCCCCGCTCCGATCCGCCAGCTCTGACTGGTGGAACGGACGGGGGAGGGGCCGGGTACAGCTGGCTCTGCCTCTAGATAGGCAGAGCCAGCTGTCAGTAACGCAGCTGGGTGGATCCAGACATAATTGTCGGGATCCGCTTCAGCTGCAGCATCTCAGTATACCGCGAGCAGTAGCTCTACAGCAGTATACTGAGCCTAGGGTGATGGGAGGACGCTAGTTTGTGTCCTCCCGTTACCCTAAGGAGAACTATGGGGGAAAGCCTTAACCCCATAGTTCTCCTTTAAATAAGAAGTCAGCAATGTTAGCCTTTGTATTTCTCTCATGACAAGTTTACTTTAAATTTAACTGCAAGTCAACTCCGGTGAGTCCTTCGAAATGTCCCATCCATTCTACATGAACCCTTCACTATGGCCCTTCATATTGACACCTGCACCATCCCTGGTCTGTTATCATCTATAGCCCCTCTCCTCAGGTTGACGAATGCACATAGGGGCCCTTTATCTCAGGATAAAGTTAGTTACTGGAAAACCGAACCTCCTTGAACCCTGCTAATCCCTTCTCTGTCCCAAGATGCACATATTTGCTAGTTAGATACTGATTTTATTTTTAAGCAAACATGTAGCCTTCTCATTAATAGTGATGAGCCGTCAGTTCATTTGGATGTCCACTGAAAGTAGGCAGAAAAATGGGTTAAATTAAGATCCAAGCTATCCAAACCGAGGACCACCTGGGAACCGTATTATTGATTGCCAGGATGCTAGAGGCTGGGCCACACAGAATCTGTGGTTGCTAGGAAGCAGGTGGGCACACCATAGCAATCTATGACGCTGTGCAGACCATGAGTTCCACTTGAGCCCAAGCTGTTCTCAATTTGCCCGCTCACCTAACCTCCCTCTGTGTCCTAGCAACCAATGAGCATCATTGGTTGACTGGTGACTGAGCCGCACAGCATCATTGGTTGCTAGGATGCAGCATCATAGGTTGTCATGGTGCGTCTACCTGCATCCTACCAACCAATGCCGCTGTGCTGCTCAGCAACCAGTCAACCAATGATGCTCATGGATCGCTAGGACACAGAGGGAGGTTCGGTGGGTGGACAAACTGCAAACAGCTTGGGTTCAGGTGGAACTCATGGTTACCCTGAACCCAAAGCTCATCACTAGTCATTGACAGTAATCTGGGACTTCCAGGCAGGCACAAACTCTTCTTCTACTCAAACAGTGAAATATCATTTTGAGGTGGACTGCTCCTTTAACATATATGTAAAATACAGGGTACAAGAGAAATGAAAACATTACCCTTAGCAGGGTAAAATCTATTATTCCGAGAGAGTCAAATAAAATGACTAAAGGCAATCATACATCGGTATTTGACAATGACACACACATAACTCACCTGTGACAGAGCTAAATGCATCTCCAGCTCGGCTACACGACGCCCCAGGCACCCTCTGACCCCATGCCCAAAGGGGATAGAGCTAAAAGGGTGGTGCTTTCTCCCAAAGCTGCGCAGCCACCTCTGGGGTAGGAATCTGTCGGGTTCAGAAAAGCTGTTTTCATCACGGGACAGCACATAGTGAGAGAGTATGAACAGGGTCTGCAAAGAAAAGTGTAACGAGAGTACGAGTCAGTTGTTATCTACTTTTACAATTGTTACCTTGATGTGCGTTGTGCTAAGCCAAGGATCGCTCAGGCTGCCAATGTCCTTGGGAGCTCCTGAATGCAATTCGGAAATCCGGATCCCGATGCCATTCGGGTCTAGGAGATTCAGCTTTAGTATTAATATCTACCGTGTTTCCCCGAAAATAAGACACTGTCTTATAATTTTTTTGGCTAAAAAAAAAACACACTAGGTCTTATTTTTTTTTTTTAAATGTACAACACTCCACACTTATTCATGTACAAAAATATGGTGATCAGGGCAATCAGGGGTGCCGTACCTTTCTAAGAGCAATTTGCTAACCAATCGTTGGCCAGAATGAGCGAAGCGCACTTTCACTATCGATTCCTCGCAGAGTGCATTTGGTATCACTCCGCCTGTGACAGGAGCCGGCGCTATAGAGGAAGCATCGGCTTATGCGGCTTTGCTCCCTCCGGTGCCGACTCGCCTCCTCTAGCGCTGGCTTCATTGGCACTGCTGATTCTCTCCTGCGGCTCTTCAAGTTCCCCCTTAGGCCACCACCGGTCCTGGGAATGGTCACAACTAGGTCTTATTTTCGGGGTAGGTCTTATTTTCGGGGGAAAAAGGGTATATACAGGTGAAACTCGAATAATTAGAATATCGTGCAAAGTTCATTTATTTCACTTATGCAACCTAAAAGGTGAAACTAATATATGAGATAGACTCATTACATGCAAAGCAAGATAGTTCAAGCCGTGATTTGTCATCATTGTGATGATTATGGCTTACAGCTCATGAAAACCCAAGAACCCCAAATCCACAACCTCAAAAAAGTAGATTATTACATGCAATCAATAAAACAAGGGTTGTACATAGAACAATATCGGACCTCTGAAAAGTACAAGCATGCATATGTACTCAGTACTTGGTTTGGGCCCCTTTTGCAGCACTTACTGCAATTACTTTTGCACAATATTCTAATTATTCGAGTTTCACCTGTATAGTTTTGTGTGGTAGTCGTAATGAACATACGTTCGTAAACTCATCCGAAACTATCGAAGTTTGGATTTTGTCCGAATCCGAAAACCCTGAACCAAATTGAATTTCAGGTCCGAATCCCGAATTCCAGGATAACAAAATATCCGAACCGAACCAAATTTTTCTGCAGCCTACATGTCTAATGTTAAGCCTTCAAAATTCTAGAGATCTGCTTTAGGGCCTTAGTGCACTCAGGCTGGCCAAAGACAACGCCAATAAATACAAAGATATGCTTCAGATTTTGAGCAATGCTTCGGATAAGCGGGTTTGTGTCTGTACTTCAAGAGGGCTGGGAGTCTGATACTGATTATGAGTTGAGAAATACCTCAGCATCATAGGTTGCAGGTCCTGCACTTTTTGGCAGTTTCCTTCCCCGCTAACCTGAAGCCCCAAGAGACAGCTGGGCTGTCTGGGTCACTCCAGTGACTGGATCGGTCACACAACCAGGCCGCGATATCCCCGCCGCTGATGCGTCACTAGGCCTCCGTTCAGGTGCTCGATCTCTGTCTCTTCGTTTCAGCAGGCGAACAACAGACTCTCAAGTACGGCAGCACAGAGCCTGTGTGTCCCTATCTGTCAAGAGCGACCACACAGCTCTGCTACAGGGCAGTCTTAACTCACACTGTCTCACATCGATCTGGACACTTCAGGTCCCGGTCCCAGACTGAGCGCGCTCAGTAGCTGCAGCCCCTAGTCCCCCTCCTTCCTCTCGCACAGCACCCTGGGTGATGTAGTTCTCAATGTCCTTTCAGCAATGTATCCATATCTGCTCTGTACTACAATCTCCACAAGTCTCCGCCTTTCTTCCACACAGAGGCAATTAACTGTTCATAGTCAGAATCCACATCTCATAGTAGCACATGTATATAACTATATAGGGGCTACACTTATAAAGGAGAATACTTACATCTTTAGGGAAAACGTATCCTTCTAGCACAACTTCCTTATCTGTTGTAATCCGTCCATTTAGTGGAACCACTGGATACATCCTGAATTAAATAGTATATGAATGTAATAATTTCAATAAACACAGAAGGTATACATCAGAAGGTTAAATAAGACTTTGTTCCTCTTAATTGGGGCACGGTGCTCACTGTTTTGGTCATCGGGTTTCTACATTTGTGCATGTGAACAGCTTACAGGTTTCGGTACCTCTCATTTGCCCCTGGATATGATCCTGGCAGTACATAGTTTCCTGAAAACATCACAGCACCTTGCTTCAGTTTGTCCTCTCAAGAGCCCTTAGCCCTGATGCAAGCAGAGGGCTGGCTCCTGGGAGGAGTTACGCCAATATCAAAATTCCTTGATGGGTGGATGTCTGGAGGAGTGGACATTCCAAGGCAGGCATGCAGACCAATCTAGGTGATACCCACATGGGATTCTGAGCCCTTATGATTGAAAGAACTGAATGAAAGGGACGGGCCAGAGGCAATCAGTCTGGAGATGAAAAGACTAGATGATGACAGATATCCTCCAGCCAGGAAATGAGGCGGGCTCTATCTGACTTCCTGCAACTTCCCACAGTGAAGCAGTGAAATCAGATTAAGCAATTTTCAATGCAGAAGGGGAGCCGGTACAATTGTGCAAGACTGAAGGAAAGGCCGGAGTTCACCTTTACGAGTAAGTCCAAAAGAGACTCTTACCGCAGGGTTTCCTTAATGACGGCTTTCAGCAGCGGCATTCTAGCAAGATCCTCATGGGAGGGAACTTTGTCTCCAGGGATAACACTCACCACCTCCTCATAGAGAGTCTTCTGGACCTCGGGGTGCTTTGCCAGCAGGTACAGGCCCCATGATAGGGTATTTGATGTCTAGGGAAAAGGCAGAGGACAAAAAGCTCTATCACTGTGGTTCTTCTGAAAATTCTAGTTGCTTGGTGGTCTTGCCAATCTTATGATAAGGAAAATCAGCATGAAGTGAGAACAGAAATGTATTCAAGGTCATCAAGTCAAAATATTAGGTCAAAAAGCATCAGGAAAGCCAGGTAACTGGCATTTTTAAAGAGGAGTACAGCAATGACAGCAGGGCCAGATTTCCCACAAGGCCAACCGAGGCCCGGCATCGGGCGACAGGGAGCAGAGGGGCAGCAGAAGTGTGGAATTCCTATCACCCTACACCCGGTACATGAAGTTCTGGGCGGGTAGTTGTTTTGTCTGTTCTCCGCTCTGCTCCATGTGAACAGTGAGGGGGAGAGCTCTCAGCTGCCACAGGAGTTCTAGCACAGTGCTGGGCTACAACTCCAGTATTGGAGGTGACAGGTTCAATAAACAGAGCCTGTCACCTCCAAATGCACACAGGGACTTGTTAGCTCCTGTGTGATAGCAATAAAGTTTAGTGGAAAAAATAAAATAAAAATTACAAAAAATAAGCCATATTTTAAAAAATCAAAATATAATTACACCTCCGATGCCGCCATATGTTTTTACTGCTTTTGCAGGACAAAGTTACAGATTTGCTGAGTTGGCCTCTTTCATATCAGGAGACATTCTCACCACCCTTCCTATGTAGCCAATGGCGAGTGCTGTCATGAGGGGTAGGGGGAGAGTCCTTAGCCTAGTGTAAGCTTCAAAGACCTCTTTTTAGAAAGTTGTTACATTGTCTATATGGAGGAAAGAATTTATATCAGAGAACACACCGTGTCCACCCCAGCTTGAAGGAGCTCCGGCATTATCCCATACACCTCCTTTAGGCTCAGCGTTCCATTGGTCAGCAGGTGAGTCAGATAGGCTCCTCCTAAATCTTCTCCTCTTTGGAGGCGTCTTTCAATGTCTTCCATTTTCTTGTCAATCAGTTTCTTCCCTGCGAAGAGCCAGGGCATAATCGTGTAGTACTTTATTGCAACATGTGGGACTTTATTAAAGTGTATCTATAGCCAAAACTTTTTCCTTCTAGATTTGGATACAGAGGGGAAGGGTGAGAATACCTGGCAGGTTTCACTGCTATCTGGAGCTCCAATGTAGAGATTTTTCCTCACTTCCTGTTAAAACCTTTCTTCTGTCTTTGTAGGTGTTAGAGAGTTTACGTTACTTCCTGTCTGGTCAAAAGGTTGTCCCCAGGATAGGAAGTGAAAGGCAATGTCTCTAACAGAGCCCCAGACAGCAGTAAAATGTAACAGGGTTTCCAATCCAATTCCAATCCCACTTTAAAAAAGCTTTGCCTATAGATACACTTTTATTCATTATTAAATACATTTTAAGGGGCTCTGTGGATGTGCTTTTGTTTTGTGTCAATGGCATCAACCTGAGATGCTGCCGGGGTCATTCAGAACCCATAGACAGGTGTATTTGACCTGTAGTTGATCTCCTTCTGACTTGCCTTTTACCTGCTTCAAGACAGTTTTGCATTCCCATAAGCTTGTATGCATATGCAAAACCCATCTGATGAAAACAAAAGCCCGTCCACACTCTGCCCAAGCTCATGGATTGTAATCAGTGGTTAATAGGAAACTATAATGGTTTTCTATAAAATAATTTTAATTCCTGTTTTAAATGATTACAAGTTTATACAAGAATCGTTTATGCTACAATTATAAATATAGTTTGCAGTGCATTCTGGGCTTTCTTTTTTTTTTATTCTTTATTTAAAGTTTTACATATTATAATTCAACATCAACATTTAACTAACAAAACAGACTTCCTCCTGGGCATCTATCACATATAAACATTTCAACATTTCATCACAATATATTTAATACATAACTATAATCAAAAAGAAAAAAAAAGAGAAAAATATTATATAACATATCCTCTTCTCTTCTACATATTACTTATCCCTGCCCATTAGTGCCTCAATTAAAAGATGGGTAATTAAAAACTATCAATCAATATCTATTTCAAGAATAAAGTGCTTATATAAAAAAGGAGAAAAAAGGGGAAAAAAAACTACACTAGTGTCTCCAAACCCAGAAGAAATCACAATTCAAATGACAAAAAAGGAGAAAAAACGGGAAAAGAAAGGAGGGGGAGGAGATTTTTTTCAAACCACTGATATAAGGGGGGGGGTTGAAACTTTCTTCCAGTATCGTGGTATCAGGGCTTTCGCAGCATTAAGTAAAGGAGGGGCCAATGTACGTTTATATCTACCCTGTTTCCCCGAAAATAATACCTAACCTGAAAATAAGATCTAGTACTATTTTGGGGAATTGCTAAAATATAAGACCTACCCCAAAAATAAGACCTAGTTGTGACCATTCCCAGGGCCAGTGGTGTTATAAGGGGGAACGTGAGAGCTTGCGGGAGAGGCGGGAGAGAATCAGCTTTGCCAACGAAGCCGGCGCTAGAGGAAGCGAGGCGGCAGCGGAGGGAGCAGAGCCGCATAAGCCGATGCCTCCTCTATAGCGCCGGCTCCTGTCACAGGCGGAGTGATACCAAATGCACCCCGAATGTGAGGAATCCATAGTGAAAGTGCGCTTCGCTCATTCTGCCCAGCGATTTGTTAGCAAATTGCTCTTGGAAAGCTACGGCACCCCTGATTACCATATTTTTCTACATGAATAAGTGTGGATTGTTGTACATAAACAAAAAAAAAATAAGGCCTACCCCGAAAATAAGACCTAGTGTGTTTTTTTAAGCCAAAAAAAAATATAAGACAGTGGATTCTGCAGTGCAGTGGAATAACATACACCACGGATCACCCTCTATAGGGGAACCCAAATTTTTTTTCTACATAAATCCTCACCTGACTCCTATATTGCTGAATAATGGGGCAGTTATACCTGAATAATGGGGCAGGTCGGGGATATCTAATAAGTAAGTCCAGCACTGTCTGTTCACTTTTGTGATTACCTGAGTCTATCTGAAAACTTTGACTGCTCTTGCCTCGGAGTTAGACAGCGATAGAGGTGGCAGGGAATGGATATACCTGCTCCGACTCATTCAGCCATGTACATTGTAAATACACAGTGAACAAAAGGTTATCAAATTATCTAAGCTGTTTAGGATTTTCACAACACAGCAGTAAAACAGCTCAGAAGTGGTTGAAAGCAGGCTAATAAAAATAAAAAAATAGAGATAATTATGGAAAACACTTAAAATTTCCTTTAACAGAGGTGAAAGCTCTCCTATAGGTGACCCCCCCATAATATGATGTGTTGTGTGATTGGACAGGTTGGCCATAGCTAAGGCTGTGGAAATGGGGTATTTTTGCTCTGTAGAAACCATAGTGTCTTCTTGTCAAGGTGCCACTTACCATAAGCAAAAATGGTGTCCCAGGCCTCTAGAAAACGTCCCCAGTAAGGAAGCCAATTTCTGGTCCAAAGAGGCAGCCGATCAATCACCACCTCGTTCTCCAACATGAATCCAACTGAGTAGATGAATTTCTGGGTGTCATCTGCAACCTCACTTCTCAGACACCCTAGCCGGGTCTCAAATATTACCCCGCAGATGCCTACGAAAACACAAATTATTTATTTTGTGATATTGCTGTCTAGGTAATTTAAAGAAGAACTCTGGTTAAAATGTTTATTAACCCTCCCAGTGGGGCTCATTTTTGTCTAAGTGCTAAAAAACAGTTATACTCACCAGACCATCCAAGCCAGCTCCCTGCTTCTGTGATCACTGAAGTGTGTCTATTTCTACACTGTACAGATGGAATGCTTCTTGGCAACTTTACGTCTATACACATCCTATGCATAGTGTATAGAGCATGATTACACCAGGATCCCTAGAGCGCTGTAGCAGAGGGAGAGAGATGTTCCAGACACCAGCCTAAGAGCAGGCCGGTTTGGATGGTTTGGTGTGTAAAACTTTTTTTTAGCAAGTAGACACCAACGAGCACTTGACCCACCTGCCTAATATTGAGTAGGTCCCCCATTTGCCGCCAATACAGCCCTAACCCATTGAGGCATGGACTCCACTAAACCCCTGAAGGTATGCTGTGGTATCTGGCACCAGACTGTCAGTAGGAAATCATTTAAGTCCTGTAAGTTGCGAGGTGCGGCCTCCATGGATCAGAATTGTTTTTCCAGCACATCCCACAGATACTCAGTTGGATTGAGATATGGAGATTTTGGAGGCCAAGTCAACACTTCAAACTCGTTGTGTTCCTCAACCTGCTGAAAGAGGCCACTGCCATCTGGGAATACCATTTCCATGAAAGGGTGTGCTCGGTCAGTAACAATGTTTAGGTCGATGGTACGTGTCAAAGTAACACCCACATGAATGGCAGGACCCGAGGTTTCCCAGCAGGACATTGTCCAAAGCATCTTACTATAACACCCTTAACTAAGGGAAGATATGGAGCTCAGCTGCGGAACCCCGTTCCGCCTTACACACCCGAACATACCGCCTCCGCCGACTTCCCATACTGCATGCTGGTGCTATCTCTTCCCCAGGTAGGCGACACCCGCACCTGGCCGTCCACATGATGTAAAAGAAAATGTGTTTCATCAGACCAGGCCACCTTCTTTCATTGCTCCATGGTCCAGTTCTGATGCTCACGTGCCCATTGTAGGCACCTTTGGCGTTGGTCAGAGGTCAGCGTGGGCACCCTGACCGTCTGCAGCTACCCAGCCCCATACACAACAAATAGTGATGCAATTTGAGCTATACTAGTTCTTCTATTGGGTGGGACTACGAGCCAGCCTTCACCTCCCATGTGCATCAATGTGCCTTGTACATACAGTATATTTAAACATGTGTGAATTCACCATACATTCCCTTTAATTGAACAACAATCTGATTGATTGTTATGGATTGCTTCATGTCACTGTTCTTGCACTTTGCTTTAGTAAGGGCTTTTAAGAGGGACATATTAAAAAGACATCCATGTATAAAATAGCTGCAGTACCTCTGGGTGGGAAAAGTACCTTGACTTACTTTCAAAGGCAAACTTATACATCAGCTCGGCCACATTTTTCACCACCAGTCCCGTCTGACTCTCTGCTCTCAGCTTTTTGATCTTGTCCAGCAGTTCTGGGACCACCTCGTTCAGTGTGTCAATATAGCGCGCAGCATCGGTTGGTTTCAGCATCTTCTGGTTAAGCACTGAGCGCAGGGTTTGCCATTGATGGCCCTGTCTTTGGATAGGTATGACATTGATTTCATTCGGATATACAGTAAAAGTTATTAACACAATACCATAGCCATTGTTGCCAATATGTCCTACAGGACCCATGAGGGCCAGGAGAGCCATACGGGCCAGCATGGGGATGTGGGCATTAGAGGCACCTGAAAGTTTCAGATGCTAAAGACCAAATGGGAACAAATTAGAGAAGTTCATTGTTAGGGTTTTCATACACTTTAATGGAATTGCTGCTTCCGTCACAAAAAGTTGAAGGAAAATACATGTTTCAATTATTACAATTCTTATATGACACATCAAAAACTAAAAACAAGTTGTAAACTGTAGCATTGTTACAGGGGTTATCTGGGCAAACCTCAGCTATAAATACTCACGCAGTCAGCGGCCCGTAGGAATGTCCCCTAAGGTCTCGATGTCCCTTCCATTGGTCCATGGGGGCCCTCATTGGGTACTTGCCTTCTTGTTTCAAAAGATTCTCCAAGATGTCAGGGCCAGCAATATTGACCATGCGATACTGCGCCAAGGTAGAAACCCATATTGGTCCGTACTTCTTTTTAAGCTGTACCTGAAACAATGATCACACATGAAGCGTCATATATTAGCTATACATACCAGTAGACCTAGTGTAGAATATCTAGTTGTATTAAATTGCATCCTTCGGGCCTTCAAAAAATAATAATGAGGCATTGACCTGGAACAGGTAAGTGACTGGACCTCTTTCAGGGCTACAGGAGGCTGGGTGCATGATGGGGACAATGATCAGAGTGGAACCTAAGGTTCTCTTAATTTATGCCAGTGGGCCTAGTGTAGAATATCTAGTTGCATTAAATTGCATCCTTGGGACCTTCAATAAATAATGAGGCATTGACCTGGAACAGGTGACTGGACCCCTTTCAGGGCTATTGGAGGCTGGTTGCATGATCCTGAGACAATCATCAGACTGGAGCCTAAGGTTCTCTTAATATATAAAGCCTTAATAGACAGTTCTCTCTGAAAAGCACAGTAGCCAAGACGGATGGGTTGGTGAGGTCACCGAAGAACAATGAGGAAGCAGAGTCAGTAGTCTGAAGTTCTGTAATTGCTATCCCAAGCATTATGGAAGCTATTGTCCAGATATCTACATGGTTTATATATTCCACTTCTGGAATATAAAACTGAGAAGTTTCAACTGCAACTTTTGAAGCTGAATTACTCCACAGTGCCTGCAGTCACAGAGGTCAGTGATGGCTTGTAGTGTAGTTTATTTATTGTAGTCTACCTTAGTAGAAATGATTCATATTGTCCAAGGATGTCTGGGATTGTCATTGTAATAAAGAACTGACCTTGAAGCTTTTTGGTTCATGAATAATCCAGTATAGGAGGAGTCATCACTCAGTTTTGACCAACCAGGCTTTTTAATTATCTGCCAAATGGGGTAGGGATGGCTATGAGGTGTCCAGGCAAATGATGGCTATGGGGTGTATTATTAGGCAAATGACCTTTTGTTAGGTCCTATAGCCTAATAATGGCTGGACACTTTTCTAAATATAAAGAGCATAGCCAGCATGGGCCACGGCTTGCAGTTGGCACATTGCCACCTACATATCATGTTGCTGACATCAGTGGCTCATCATTCCTCTGTATAATAAAAGGTAGTCACAGCCACTCATCAACATCTGTCTCGTGTTCACTTCATGTATTTTTGTAGATGGAAAAGTGTCCTCTGTACTTATAGTTATTGAACTGTGGGTCTTGGAAACCAAACCACTAGCATAGTAAGGTGACAGCATGTCCAACTCTTCCAATCACTGTCCATCAAAGAGTTAGTATATTGTCTCTTTCAGCCTCCTTAAACTAGACTTGTGCACCGTCAAAAAATTTGTTCTGTTTCGTAATTCGTACGAATTTCGATTCGTAACGAAACGAATCGCACATGTCTACCTTAAACCCCAGGCTTGGCTTACCTTAAATTACACTAATGTTCCTACATCTTTGACCCCCCAGCCTTGTCTTACCTTATATAACACTATTGTTCCTACATCTTTGATCCCAGCCTTGGCTTACCTTATATAACACTATTGTTCCTACATCTTTGATCCCAGCCTTGGCTTACCTTATATGACACTAATGTCCCTACATCTTTGACCCCAGCCTTGGCTTACCTTATATAACACTATTGTTCCTACATCTTTGACCCCAGCCTTGGCTTACCCTGTATGACACTATTGTTCCTACATCTTTGATCCCAGCCTTGGCTTACCTTATATGACACTAATGTTCCTACATCTTTGATCCCAGCTTTGGCTTACCTTATATAACACTATTGTTCCTACATCTTTGATCCCAGCCTTGGCTTACCTTATATGACACTAATGTTCCTACATCTTTGACCCCAGCATTGGCTTACCTTAAATTACACTAATGTTCCTACATCTTTGATCCCAGCCTTGGCTTACCTTATATGACGCTAATGTCCCTACATCTTTGACCCAAGCCTTGGCTTACCTTACATGACACTAATGTCCCTGCATCTTTGACCCCAGCCTTGGCTTACCCTGTATGACACTAATGTTCCTACATCTTTGGCCCCAGCTTTGGCTTACCTTCTACGACACTAATGTTCCTACATCTTTGATCCCAGCCTTGGCTTACCCTGTATGACACTAATGTCACTACATTAGTGTCATACTATGCAAGACCATTGGAATAGAACGGGGCAGCACAATACAGTTGTCCAAGGCAGGAAGCAGAAATGGCCCTTGATAGGGGAGTGACAATGTTTAAGTTTATTTTAGCCCGCTGGAAACAAACAGATATCATTCCTGGAGTAGATATATATTTTTTCCAAGGATACCTGCTTCAAAAAGATTCTATCCGCTTCTGTCTATATTTCTGAAGGGTCAAATAAGTCTATGAAAAGTTATCTTGTAATAAGAGTTAATCAATAACCAGTGATGTTCTTTCTGTATCTAAAACTGTGCAAGTCATTCAGACTTTGTTGTTTGGCGCAATAAGGGTTATCATGATTCTCTGTATCACTCTGTTACCTGACTTTACTAAAATACTGATTTGGCTGGCCAACATTGACCTTTATTTATCAAGCCTAATCTCTCCTTTTTCACTCTGAAACTAATTTGTAGGATTCCCCAGCAATCCTCCTTTTTCTCCTTTGCTTCTTTGTTTCAGATAGAGCTAAAAAGGATTTCCCCCCATTATGTGGATGAATTTGGCAGGCATCTCACTGGGAATTTTCTCATTTTAATAATTAAAAGTATTGCAGCAATCTCAGAATATCGTGAACTTTGATTTTGTATTTGTTCCTCTCTTACCTGATATGATATTGTCAGATAAGGTTGTCAGGTAGAATAAGAAAAATTGCCAGCCAACTTTCACACTGCGACCACGCAGCAGTCATCCAGCGAGGAAATGCCCAGTTGTGGTCTTCTATGTACAGAATTATTTGTGTGACCTTTGCCAGGTTATATACATTAGACATGTAAGTTTTGTTTTGTTCCGCATTGAAATTTGGATACATTTCTTTAATTCGGACATTTGGATACATCCAAACTTTTGATTATGAATCTATCTGAATTTTGGTTACGTTTGAATTTCCCACTTTGCATCCGAAACTTTGGATACATTTCAATCGAAATTCTGAAGTTCGAATGCATCCAAATTTGAACAAATCCAATTTTTTTTTCTGAAGTTTGTCCGAATTTCCAAATATCCAATTCTGATATCAAGAACGGACTAATATGACCAGTATGGACTATGATGACCAGTATAGACTATGATGATAAGTATGGACTAGGAGGCTCAGTACGGACTAAAATGACCAGTAGGAACTAAGATGACCAGCATGGACTATGATGACCAGTACGGACTAAGATGACCAGTACGGACTAAGATGACCAGTACGGACTAAGATGACCAGTACAGACTAGAATGACCAGTATAGACTAGAATGACCAGTACAGACTAAGATGACCAGTACAGACTAAGATGACCAGTACAGACTAAGATGACCAGTACAGACTAAGATGACCAGTATGGACTATGATGACAAGTATAGACTAGGAGGCTCAGTACGGACTAAGATGACCAGTATGGACTATGATGACCAGTATGGACTATGATGACAAGTATGGACTAGGAGGCTCAGTACGGACTAAAATGACCAGTAGGAACTAAGATGACCAGCATGGACTATGATGACCAGTACGGACTAAGATGACCAGTACAGACTAAAATTACCAGTATAGACTAGAATGACCAGTATAGACTAGAATGACTAGAATGACCAGTATAGACTAGAATGACCAGTATGGTCTAAGATGACCAGTACGGACTAAGATGACCAGTACGGACTAAGATGACCAGTTTAGACTAGAATGACCAGTATGGTCTAAGATGACCAGTACAGACTAAGATGACCAGTACGGACTAAGATGACCAGTTTAGACTAGAATGACCAGTACGGACTAAGATGACCAGTTTAGACTAGAATGACCAGTATGGTCTAAGATGAGCAGTACAGAACTACTGTGATATGACCAAAAAAAACCCCAAAAAGTAAATTTTTAATTAAAGAACCGCATCCGAAAAGATGACCAGTTTAGACTAGAATGACCAGTATGGTCTAAGATGACCAGTACAGACTAAGATGACCAGTACGGACTAAGATGACCAGTTTAGACTAGAATGACCAGTACGGACTAAGATGACCAGTTTAGACTAGAATGACCAGTATGGTCTAAGATGAGCAGTACAGAACTACTGTGATATGACCAAAAAAAACCCCAAAAAGTAAATTTTTAATTAAAGAACCGCATCCGAATTGATCATAACTAAAAATAAAACATTTGAATTGATCCGAACCAGAAAAAACACAAAAAATGTGGATCAAACTAAATCATAAACAAAAAAATTGAAATCAATTAGAATTCCGAATAATGAACCGAATTGAATTTCAAATGGAAAAAAAACGATCAATCTGAAATGACACAAATTTTTTGAGCCTTTACGTGTCTAGAATACATAAACTCTTCTAGTTTATGTTTTTTTGTTGTTTATGGTTCACTAGTTTGTGAATCACATTCAGGCATCTTGTCACAGCAAAGGCAAAGTTTCGGGGCCACTTAGGTTCCCTTCATCAGGCATAGTATGATGAGTGTCTGATGAAGGGACCCTAAGTGGCCCCAAAATGTCTTTGCTGTGTCTTATATGTGGCAATAAAATAAATTTTTTAGACTTTTGACTTCAGTGTGCTGGTGACACATTGGGGGGAATTTATCAAAACTGGAGCAGACAGGAATGGATCCCTCTAAGGATACAGAGTACTAAATGCTGCTTGGCAATCTTATGGAAATTACCAAATTACATGCACCTACATTTTATAAACAGATGCTTTTTCTACCCACATAAATCACCGTGTGGACAGACATCTGTGGGCTCTCTTTGCTTCTGGGCCCCATAGCAGTTGCACTGTTTGCTGTGGCTATCCAAGGGGGACCTAACATTGCTAGCTCTCTTACACTCACACACACAGTCGGTAGGCCCTTTTTATGTTCATGGAGAAAAACAGAGCACTCAAAGCAAAGCCCAGGGAGAACATACAACCGCCACTCCAACTGTGTCCCTGGTGGGGTTTTAACCCAGGACACCTGTGCTGAGGAATCACCATCTTTCCCCAACGCTGTCTCCAATCTTACCTCTAGGTCGTGCATGTGAAACAGGTAACCTCTCAGAAACACCCAGTAGATCAACTCCAGTTGGCTGGGTCCAGGCAAGTCATTGATAGTCTTTAGGTTGTTACCCCTGTGCTCCACTTGGGGTTCTCACACCCGTAGAGATGCCATGTGTCTTGTGCTTCTCCATGGCGACAGCTGGACAGAAGTACTCAGGACCCTACTTAACCTGGAGATCATGGTGCAGGGTGTCCGGTGTGTGGGATAATAAAAAAGCAGAACAAAAAAGCAAATATTTATATTAGCCGACTGCTCCAGGCTCCTGGCTCAGTTGCGAGTCTCTGGCACATCAGAAAAGAATGTGCTACTGCAACACCAAAAGCAACAAGATTGAATGTCACATCTGTGCCAACTCTGTTATCTGTGCTACACACCCCTTTGCAGAAGGTGACAAGCTACAGAATAAATTAAAAGGAATGTGTAGTGGTTTTGTGCATATCTTATTTTGAGATTTTATTGGCAAGAAAATAATAAAATCATTAATTTCAAAAATATTTTTTTCCAGCCAGTTAAATATGAAATGTTGCATAGAAATATTATGCAGTCTTATATTCAGCCAGCAGGTGGCGCTTTAGACTTTTTTTTCAGGATCTCCAGTTTGTTCTTACTTCCTGGTGAAAACAAAATCTTTGCTGTATACAGGGTGCAGGAGCTCAAGATGAAATGAACACTGATGAATGGGCAAATGAGTCAGCACAGTGGCTGCTCACCCCTCCCTCAATATGACTCGATCTGAGGTTTTAATTGCAGACATGGTGTAATTGAAACCACAATACAAAAAATGTGGTGCAAGTGAAAAACAGAAAATAATAAAACAAAAAATTAAATTAAATAAAAAGAAGTAAAAAAGAAATAAAAATTAAAAAATAAGTTTGAAATAATAATTAAAATGTTAAAAAATTATAAAAAAAGTGGTAAAAAATAAAATAAAAAAATAATTAAAAAAGTAAAAGATAATAATATATATAATAGAAAAGGGGGAAGGGATAAGCTATCCGAGGTGGGATACAACAGGTAACAAAAATGTTTTCAGTTAGCAACAGTCACGGCCACTTATTCAGAGCCAACATTACACAGTTTAAGTTGCAAGATGTAAAGCTGGCAAGGCAATTGGTGCCAAATACATTGGTCCAGGTGTGACTGAGCCAGGAGCCGGAGGCCCCACCACTCAAGAGCTTCAAGGATGTAAATAAAAGGCAGCTGATGGGAATACCCACCATAGCGAGTTAACTTGAGTAGAGGGGCAGGCGCTGAGCCGGACACATGGTATGGATTTGGATAGAAAGAAAAGGGCAACTAGGGTAGGACCCCTAGCAGGAGGAGGGATACAGGGGGGCAGGCGCTGAGCCGGACACATGGTATGGATTTGGGTAGCAAGAAAAGGGGCAACTAGAGTAGGACCCCTAGCAGGAGGAGTGATACAGAGATGGGAGAAAACAGATAAGGGCCAAGAAAGGAAAGGAGTAGAGGAATGGACAGAAGAGTACAGAAGAAGAACCGTCCCCTGCCATGGACCCCTTCCAAATCAGTGGGCCAGTAGCTGAGGGGAAAACAACCTCCGTGAAGCCAGCCAAGTCCTGTTGTGGAAATTTTATTGTATGGAATTATGTGGACATTTTTATTTTAGAATGTGTCTGTGTTTTATAGATTGTCATCTGTCTCCCTGTGTCGGATTCAACCGAGGGACGCCCTAGCAGAGCGTTCTTGGGTTAATCGGGATCAGCAGTAAAACCGTCAGTATTCAACCCTCCCATGGGCTTAGAGACGTGTTTGCGGTGTGTGTGGGCGTTTGCCGGTTTGTGAGTATCAAGCGCAATGCGCTGGGCCCAATGCCGGCTAATGTCTATACACATTCGCAAAGCGTGGTCCGCATAACCAGAGATACATATTATATCTCTGTTGCGGCTGCGCTATCCCTTTTGGATACATATCTGCTTTTATAAGAAGACATTGATATCTGCCTTGTCGGTGTACTCGCACCGTATATTGATAACAGCATTAGCAATGTCTCAGCACATAGTCTCAAATCTGTATGAACATATAGAACGATCTTAATAGATACTGGTCATTCTGAGCAGTAATGTATAAGGTCCATGCTGGCCAAAATGGCGGATGTGCATACATGTGGTCAGGGCCGGATTTACTCTCTCTGCCGCCCCAACTTTTTTACTTTTAATCACCTTTTTATGTTTTTATTTAATTATTTCATATTATTTTTTACATTTTAATTTTTTTAATTTTTTTTAATCAATGAAATTTTTTTTCACCTAACTTTATTGCTATAACACAGGAGAAAACAATCCCCTGTGTGACAAATTGGAGGTGACGGGTTATCTTTATTGACCCTTTCACCTCCAATACAGGAGTTCTAGCACAGCACTGTGCTGGAACTCCTGTGACAGGTGAGAGAGCAAGAGCACAGCACAGCTCTCCCCTCTCACTGTCTACAGTCTACACAGAGCAGCACTTTTAACCCTGCCGCTCTGCTCACTGCAGTGAGAGACTCGGGACTCGGCGGTGGAGGACCGAACCAGAGGAGAGAGGTAAGTGCAGGGGGGAGGGGAGGAGGCTGCACACTGTTTACATGTGATCTCGGCAACATCGCCGAGTTCACATGTAAACAAAAAATCGGCTTCCCTCATTTAGCTCGGCTTGTGCAAAGCAGGACTGAATGTAGAGAGGGCAACTTCCCCACAAGGACACCGCTGCCGCCCCTCTGCTCCCTGCCGCCCCGAGGCCGGGGCTCGGTGGCCTTGTGGGGAATCCGGGCCTGCATGTGGCAAGGATGAGTCATCCACGTAGGCGCACACCCCTTTTCTGATTGGCTGATGTTGTAAAGCCATCCCCCTCTGGGCGTTAACCTTTTTGCTGTATAATAAACGGAGGTGCTGGTGGTCAGGGACACAGACACTTGAACACAGAACTCCAGCTAAAGCAACACCTTGTCTTGACTACATGACACTACAGAAGCAGTTCCCTTCCCTGTACGAAAGAGCGTAATACAACATGCTTTTAAGCGCGACGGAATTGTTTGTGCTTGGCACACTTTGATGCTGAAAGTACACCTTTTAGCGCGGCATAGATTTGTGCGCTTAGCCCAAGCAAATTTCCGGAACAGTCCCTAAATATGAGCCAGGTAGGCCAGCTGTGTATATAACATTTTTTTAAAGTAAAAACATAAATAAAAATAAAATAAAAATAAAAAGTAAAAACAATAATAAAGAAAACATTTTACATAATTAAACCGCTGCCGTCCGTCTCACCTGGTATGCTAAAGTGGGTAGTCAGCCAAAACAGGTCAGGGAGCAAAGAGAGCCGGATGAATGGAAACAATAGCCGGAGTCAGGAACCAGGAGATCAGTCAGCCAGAACCAGGGCCATACACAGAGAACAGGAACAACAGCAGAGCACTTGGTAGATCAGAACACAAGCAAGGGCGGAGACTGAATGGACAAGCTGATGGACAAATAGTGAACTGGTGTTTGCATCATCACTCTGAGACAGGAATTTGCCAGAAGTTCTGTTAGTAGTTGCAGAATGATTATGTTAGCGGTTTTGATCATAAGAGGGCTCCAGAGAGGAACAAACGATGTCCGAAACACTGCACAAGCCATGCTGCAAGCAACTGAACATGGAAGCGTAAGTAACCCTGACATGGACATAAAGAGCGCTGCTCAATCCATTCATTTGGTTTGGCACTCCTTTGGTGGTTTATGCTTCAACAATAAACTCCTGCAAGGGCATTCCCATACCTAACTTAAAAAAAAAAAAACACGTCTTCTGTCTGTGTGGCAGTTAGAAAGATTTTCCCTCACTTCCTCTCCTGCGGAAAACCTTTGTACCAGACAGGAAGTAAAGGAATAACTCCAATGGCACCTGCGATGGCAGGAAATCCTGACAGTAGATCTAAATCTACACCTCGCTATCTGAAACTACAAAAAGAAAAAAAGTCTTGGCTATGGATACAACTTAAAACACATCTTTGCTAAAAATAAAGTTGTCCTTTAATTTGCATAATCACCCATCCATTGCAGACGGTTGTAAGTCTGTCGTGGGTATATTAAGATTTCGCCTTAACAATTGAATTTTAAGATCAGCCCTAACTATTAGAATCCATTTAAATTTAAAGTGGAACTCCAGACATTCACTAATAAGGTTGGGAAGGGGTACAAGCTCCAACGGGTTATTAAGGCCGTCTGTATCCCCAGTGAGATTTGCCCAACTTCCTATTCGGTCATCAGGACAATAGGTGAAGAGAATTCTCCCCAGGTAGGACACAAACAGAAGAACCCACAGGATTCTAAACTTTTCCCAAAATAAGTATTAAAAAAATGTTGGCTGGAGTTGGGCTTTGACATGCTACCCATCAACAAAGTGCATCTTGTGCAAAATAATTATATGGTTTTTTTTAATAGCTGCAAAATAGATTCATGTGAAGCACTTTCAATATATACTCTTTAGTTTAATATTTTCCTACAATTGCTAGGAAAGCAATTAGTATTTGTTATGACTAAGCCATTGCTCTAAGCACGGGTATTTGAGAGGTTACGGCCCCTTTTGTGTGTGCTACAATACCACTTTCCACCAGTAGATGGTCATGCAGATGAAAGCCATCAATACAGCTCTGGATCACAATAAGACCCCTCAGTCCCAGGATCTCCAGGAAAGCAAGCCATTTTTTTTCAGACAGACTGTGCTGTAGCCCCCATATTCCGCTCACTGCTCTGTGCTGTACCCCCCATATTCCACTCTCTGCTCTGTGCTGTACCCACCATACTCCTCTCTCCGCTCTGTGCTGTACCCTCCATATTCCACTCTCTGCTCTGTGCTGTACCCCCCATACTCCACTCTCTGCTCTGTGCTGTACCCCCCATACTCCACTCTCTGCTCTGTGCTGTACCCTCCATACTCCACTCTCTGCTCTGTGCTGTACCCTCCATATTCCGCTCACTGCTCTGTGCTGTACTCCCCATACTCCACTCTCTGCTCTGTGATGTACTCCCCATACTCTGCTCACTGTGCTGTACCATATTCCCCCTACTTTGCTTGCCTGGCCCCTGGACAAGCTCAGTCTCAGGAGCCAGGGTCTGAAGAAAGAAGATACGGTATCATTTTTTCTGAGCTTTGTTACGGTGGACTGCACAGCTCCTTACACAATGCACGCCCAGAGAGCAGGACAGG